CAAGCAAAATGGATTTAGATAAATACAATTCAGTCAGCAAGTTTTCTTCATAAAAGCCATTTTAAAACCTTATGAATTTGTTAAGGATTTCTTGAAGGAAAATATTTTTTCCACAAATGGCCCATGAAAATAAACTTTTAAGCCACCGCCAAATTACAATTATTTTGTTTGATTTTGACAATCTTCATTTTCAATGTGTTTTTTTTTATGTAACTTTATTTTGGTCAATTTAGCAATGAGCAGATATTTGAAATACGATAATCATAAAAAAAATATATTGTCTGAGCTTAATGATCAATCTGAAGAATTTTATTTCTCAATTAAAAATAATAAGGAAGAACGTTTGTTTTCATTTCGCGTAAGGTTTAATATGGCACCTAAAAGTAGGCAACTTTATGAAAACAATTTTAATTATTTTGGAAATTGAATAGAATTTTTATATGATCAGTGTATATTTCAATTATTTTGTTCAGATTGGATGGTATTTATAAATCATTTTCTATCTTGAACGATGATTTTTCTAGTGGTTTCCGCAAGCGGCTAGGAAAAATGACTTGAAAAAGGTTTTTATTGTAGCTTAAATACGGGTTTCAAATGGTTCTCAATACGTTCGTCATTCAACCTTTTTGCAGTAAATCAATCTTGAAGAGCTTCGAAAATATACCCTTCAGAACTTTCTCCAGGATGGGCCAACTAGAAAGATTCTAGTCGTAATGAGGTTTTGGTGGATGCATCAATGGCAAAGTAGCCTTGTCCAGAGTTTTACCCAAGTAACATTTTAAGTTTTATGAAACACTACAAAGCAACTATAAAACAACATTCATAAAACCCTGGTCAAGGCTATCTTGTCATTAATGCATCCACCAAAACCTCATTAAGACTAGAATATGTCTAGTTGGCCCACCCTGAAGAAGGTTCTGAAGGGTGTATTCTCGAAGCTCTTCAAGATTGATTTACTGCAAAAGGTTGTATTACGAACGCATTGAGAACCATTTCAAAGCTACAACAAAAGCTATTCAGCAACAATAAAAACCCTTTCCGAGCCATTTCCCCTAGCCGCTTACTAAATCCTCTAGGAAAGCATCAATCAAGATAGAAAAGGATTTATGAAAATAATTAAAATAGAAACTGATGGTATAAAAATTGTGTTGAATATCCAAATTTATTACAATAGTTCTCATTATGTGGCCTAGTTTTAAGTGCCTTATTAAATGTCATGTGAAGTGTACATGAAAACATCGAAAAAAATAGGTCCGCTCTCGTAAAACGTCGATTTGACTAATTATTTTACATTGAATTAAATAAATTATTTTTCAGATCGAGCTAGGCCGAGATTATTTTTTTCTGATTTTCGCATTTAAATGTTTGCTCATTGCTAAATTTACCAAAATATAGTTATATCCAAGGAAATATAGATAGAAAATCGAAGATTGTAAAAAAAACAAGCAAACTAATTGCAACATGGCGGTGGCATAAAAATTGATTTTCATGGGTCATTTGTGAAAAAGTTGTTTTGCTTTTAAGAAATCCATAACAAAATCCTTAGGTTGTAAAATGGCTTTTATGAAGAAAACTTGCAGGCTGAATTGTATTTATCTAAAGCCATTTTGCTTGATCTTAACCCGTTCAGATTTATGGCAGCATTTATGGAGGCAAAGTTGCCTGCAAAAGTTAAACGTCAAAGTTTGTTTATCTTTCGATAGTTGCGCTGTTAGATTTAGCGTTCTTCCAGAAGATTATCTCCCGATGGCTTGGAAGCAGTTACTAAGAAAGTGTTCACAACATTTCGCATTTCGCACAGCTGTAACCTCGAAAATTCCCGAAAAGATCCCCTTCTTCCGGATGGTTCTGGAAGTGCACCATCAAACGATGCAGAAATGTACAGTTGAATTAATTTTTTCCAAGTGATGACCCTTTCACCGAATAAAATCGCAGCTATGGATCGGAAACCAACTAGTGTCCGCTAACTGACAGTTTCAGTGGTTTGCTTTCGGTACTGACACAAGTTATTCCGATCTTCATCTATTCGCAAGGTCTGGAGAAGGCTGGTCTGTTTTCAGGCTGTTTTGACAATGTTTTATGAATTTGAGGACCACGCTCACTTCTCTCTTCTCCACCAGATGCTCAGTCGTTGATTGTACCCGTTCCGCCGGACGTGCTGGTTCTGAAATCGGCCTCCCTTCGGTCGTTAGCATCGCTTGAATTTTTCTTCCAACTTCGTTTATCCTTCGATATATCCTTGTCATAACTTTGGTTTTTATTCACTGTGAGGATCCATCCTTAAAATTCAATTTGTAAACAGAGGAGATTTTATGATACACTTATAAAAGCCTAAAAGGCAACAATATATGCCATTTGCTCTCATTTAAAACTTAATGGTTTTATGATTGCTTTTATAATGATAGAACAGGTTTATAGAGTATTTTATCAAGACATTAATAAAAAATTGCTAATGAAGTTTATGATTGATTTATAGAACAGTTTTATGGTGGGATTGAGAACAAATTTAAATTTAATTTTAAAACAAGACAGTTTTTGACTTCTCGACAGACTGTAAAAGGTTTTTAAAACAGCGAAAAGGTGAACTACTAAGCAGGAACGTGTTACACTGCGAAATGCTGTATTCAAACTAAATGGATTATTCATTGCCATTATAAAACCATCATAAATCAGAGTGGATGCCAAATGATTGCAAAATTGTTACTTGGGTATGAATGTTGTTTTATAGTAGCTTTGTATTACTTTATAACACATAAAATGTTACTTGGGATGGAAATGATCATCCTAGCGACAAAATAAAAAAAAATACAGGTCTATATTTTGCGATCCGGAACAAAACTGCAAATTTTAACGATGTGTACAACGAACCTTTGTCTATAAAGGCGTAAATAATTTGGGAGGAAACGGTGCCGTATAGAATAAGAAGAATACGGAAAAGTAGCCACTGGAAATTACCTGACGTGACGTGGCTAGATGTTGTATATATTCTCTCGTGAGGAGTGACGGACTGCAGTAGAGTATGGTGCCGTTGACGACACCCGTTGATACCGCAACCATTCCAAGACTTACAAGGCCATTTGCCGTGACTGTTCAGGCACGTTCTACAGAGCCCTTCCAACGTTCATCCACGCTGCCACCGTGCTTGCATTCGAACACTTGGTGACCGACTCGACGACACGATAGACATTGCTTGGCAGGTTTCGTGTTACTGGTAATACTACTGGACGTGGGATTTGATGTTTGATCCGTGGAGTGAGCTGTTTTGACTCAAATTTATGTCAAAATTGACGCTCGTATATGTCACTCTCAGAGCACCTAAATCTATATGTTTTTTTTCTAGGTGTGTATAAATTAATAGATATAAATTGATAAAGTGCTCATTTAAGCAGATTTATAGATGGCTTGTTTAGAATTAATGTCAATTTGCTATTGACAGAGTTATAAGTGGTCAAAACTTGACTACTTTTCGAAACGCGGTCGACTTTGGTTTTTGGAAATTTCACCCCCAATATGTTGCCGAAAGACGTAATCCTCCGTCAAAAATAGCGGCTGTAGTAAATCATTAAATAAGTGATTTTGTAAAATTATCTTAACAAAAAATAGTAGAAATTCTTATTACTGATCATTACCAAACGTATCCCAGGGCAATTAGATGCTCATTGCGTGTTTATGATCATTTCTTCGATTATATTTTATATTTTATTGCAATACCTTTCGTTGACTTTTCATAGCATCGTAATGTTTGTTTACTTTGCACTATTGGTTTGACAGTTCAATACGTAGACTTGGTTACACTCTTGGCGTGACTTATTATACACCGACTCTAGATTAGACTATCCAATGTGTGAGGTTGAAGGACTGATGGGTCGGTTCGAAAATCCAAAATTGCTCGTGATTTATTTTCATCCTTTCCCCGCTCACAAAGGTTATAAGTTTCGGGAAGCCTTCTTAAGACGGCCTACCGATAACTACCGATAAAAGTTTTGAGAAGCTACCGATAATGAAAAAAAATAATCTGGCCACCCTGTTTGCACCTGCGATAGTGTGCGAACGAAAGAAACAGGAACTGGAAGCGGAAGTGGCAACTGAACCGGAAAATCTACTAGAATGTAGCTGGTCTACACACTTAGAAATAGCTAATTTAACACGTCACGGAATCCATTTTTGACATTAAAGATGAGACGTAAACAAACATGTCAAGTAATATTAAGTGCTATAGACGTCATTGCAGGGACATGATTCTGCTGCATAGATGCTTGAGCGGGATAAGCGGGAACAGCTGCTGTAGATTGCGTCAACACATGAACCGGAATCTCGTATGAAGTGAATAACGGGCCTGATGGTTGCAATAATGGAGCTGAAAATTCCATCTGGACAGGCGCATTTAGGAGTGGCCTTTGATCTACCGAATTCTGTGGCATTGGTGGTAGTGGAGAAACAGGGTCATTTGCAGGGTCTTTGGGAACCTGATTCAAATGGGGAGTGTACGTTTTTCCATTATGACTTCCGTCTGATCTTCCAGCGTCTATCTAGCCAATCTTTTACCTTTTGATCGGAACTTACAACCGATCCATCTACACCGATTATCCATCCGCCAGCGGTCGTAGAATTACTTGACAATACTCTAGAGATTCTCTCCTCACTTGCTGTGGTTTACGTTTCGATTCCAATTCCTCCTGCAGTTTACGCTCACGGATACGTTTTGCTTCCTCGGTGAGCTTCTGGCGTTCTTCTTCCTCCAGTAGCTGCTTCTTGATGCGCTCTTCTTCTTGCAACGCTTGTTCTTCCATTCCATCAGCTGCTGTTGTTCGACAAGTTTCAGTTGTTCCGTCAGCAGTGCAGCCCGCATGATGGAACTTACGATTTCCGAAGGTTCAGGGCTTTTCTTTCCCTCCCGTGATCCTCCCTTTGAGCCCGCTTTTGACCCCTTCAGTGGACGTGTTTCTTCAACTGGCACTTTCAGGCGATCGTCATTGGGTTTTCCCTGCTTGAAGCATCGCTTAAAAACGTTTGTGGTGCCCGGCTGCTGACTCATCGACACCAGCACAGCCAAAGTGCTCCCATAGCTTGCATCGGTTGCACTGGCCCATCGCGCATTCCGCCGAGTCCACCCGTTCACAGGACTGGCAATTCTGAGCGGAACCTTTATCATCCGTCATACTTCCTATACCCGAACAAATTTCGAAAATTCTGAGAACCACTTTATCGTCTTGCTGGAATGGTTGAATAAGTGTATGGTCCAAAATTACAAATTACAATATCCTTGTCAGTCTGATTTATATAATGGTGGGAAGTTTTCCAAACGATCAGTTTTCACATTCCACCAAATTTTATACTGCACTTTGTATGTGTACCATAACGTCCCATTCATCCCATTGTATCAACCCAACTGTCATTCATTTTAGTTTGAAGAGCTCTACCTTCGAACTCTTTTCTCAACTACTTACATTGATTGAATGAGCGAGCTTCGTTACCCCTTCCTCCACCAATCCTAGCGTTGGCCATCGCAAAATCGGTAGAAATCGTGCCCCAGACAGATAAAGTTATAATTGCGTCCATTCATACACCTGGAATCAGCAGGAAGATGATTTTCAGGACAAAAGTTTCCTGCTAGCTGCTATTTCCGCTCGTTGTCGACGATGAGCCGAAAATCGGTGCAGGACGCGGTGTGTAATTACCTCACGAGACCGACTAATGATGAGCGGCAGATTGCGACAATTTGCCTACAAAAAGTTTTTGCCCTATTTTCACTTCCCTTCCGCCAATTTTCACAAAGCAGCAAACTTCAGGTAAAGTGGTAACGAATGAACCAATTAGGGCATTTCCCCCTCGCTCTGCCTGAAAAGGATTAAATAAAGTCATCTCCGGAAGAGAGTTATGAAACGCGATGCATTTGTCATTCCTGATCTGTGGGCGGGGGGGGGGGGGTCACTCTGCTATCAGACGACGACTGCTTTATTTATTACGCTGCAAACTGCCTCCCTCGGGTGGCCTACAGGGTTAAATGGGGGAGCACAATTTACAGCCTGTTGCTTTTGAAAGATGGATTACCTCTTGCGACTCGCAACATATCGATAATAAATAGCCACTTGTGAGGGCTACATTTATCAAACCTCGATACATCACATCGTTGGTTGCCGGGCCAGTGCTCTGCTGGTATGGACAGTAAATAGTGTCACCGTTCCTTACCATCGCCTTCTCCACTCTGCAGGCGGAAAACCGTAGTACAGTTTAGGGATAACGATACAGCTGTTGCGCATGTCGGTCGTTGTCGACATATTTAGACGATGGCAGTGACGTAAGGTGGGGCTTTTCGGCCTTCCGGTTTCGTAAATAGAGCGGAAGTTTATCTTAATGGGTATCAATATCCGACACGGGATTGAGTCCTGCTACTGATTCTACCTTAAACGAGTTGTATTTTCTCGTGAAATGGATTTGTCGTTCAGAAATACTTTTGCCGTAGATTGATACCCAGAAATGGGCAGTCAGTTTTTTGTCGGCCAAATACAGCAGTTGGCACTGGGGACGCCTACAAACAGTGGACGAAATATGCATACCAAAAGATAAGCAATTATAGCGGAATTAAAAGTAAAGGATAACCTTCCCTAAAAGCTCTTCACAGGAGGCTTCACTAAATGGTTCGATATAATAAATTATTGTGTTTGCGCTATTGAAAGTTTCTAAAATTTTCAACTTAGGGTTTGCTCGAAAGTTACGTAACGCAATAGGGGGAGGGGAAGTGTAGGAGAGGGTTTACATTTGTTACACTTTGTTTAAAGGAGGACTCGGTAGAGTTACGCATAACAATGATGTTCTACAAAAAATAGTAAGGCATTCCATAGGTACAAAACTGATGAAGTGTTGAAAAACTCTAACCCTGAAAATGACGATCTGACCGGTGTTTTCTGAATTGGTAAAAAACTGTTTTAAGGGGGTAATACCGTTTGAACCCCGTTTTCACCCTCTAACTTCGTCTACTTGAGATATAGAAAATTGTCGTCTTGCACAAAGTTTCTTAAAATGACTTCATGTACAATGTTTCCATAGATTTTAATAAAACATTGAAAAAAAAATATCTTAGTGTATACCCCCCTTAAGCAAACATTTTCACCACTCAAATAAAGCACTCCAACAATGATGAAACATTCAACAAACTTCAAAATGTTACAAATTTTACTAGGGGGGGAGGGGGTAGGGGGGTCTTCAGCATTTTTTGACGTAGAACTACGTCTTTGTCGACTATAGTGGGGTGCAAATCAAACAATATGCGTGGTAAAATAGTGTTTCAAACACGCCAATCGATAGGATATTACTTTACAAATCTGCTGAAATAAATATTTTTTTCAAAACATTTGAAAAATGTACAAATGGTAATTTTATCTCTGTTTTCATGAATTAAACGTTTTTCCCAAACCCAGTCGTCATAATCGAGTACCACTTGGTTGCACATCATTCTGTTTGAACATGAAAAGATATAAAACAGCACTGCTGTCGTGCCTATGCTCAACATATTCGCTGCCAGACTGTTGAGCAGTTCAGTCGATTTGAATTCTCTCTAGTTTCGTTCGTTCGTTCGCAAGTCGAATTAGCTCCGCGTTGTGTAGTGACGCTCTCGCTGACCCAGCCATGGGTAAGAAATCGCGCGGTAACGCGAGTGCCGGTTTACCGGGAAAACAGACTCTCCCAGGAGACGGCGCGACCACCGAGCCAGCCCAGAAGAAGCAGAAGAAAACCCCATTGCCCATCCCGACAGGAGTTGCGGACCCGCAGCCGGGGCCTCCCGGAACTAAACGACCCAGACCTGAAGACAGCAGCGCCACCGTATCAGCAGCAAAAAAGCTGCTGAGCAACAATCCGTTCTCCGCCCTGCAGAACGGAGCGCAGCCGCAGTCGGACCCTGAGACGGTGCCGAAAAAAGTTAAGTTGCCACCCTTCTATGTGAAGGGCTTCCCTCCCGGGCTATGGGAGCAGCTGGATTTCTACATTAAGCAGGGCCTTCGCTGCACCATTAAACGGTGCACGGAAGGCTACAAACTGATGGTCCCGGCCGAAAAACACTTCAACGTAGTTCAGGCCCTCTTGGACAGAATGAAGCTGGAGTACTTTTCCCACGACATCGAGGCCACCAAGCCGCTGAAAGTGGTGCTGCGCGGGCTCCACGACATGGACACCACCACCTTAATGGACGAGATTAAGGCGAACGGCCTCAAGCCGGTCGAAGTCCACAAGATGACCCGCAGCAAGGCCATCAAGTATCGTGACCAGCTCTACCTGGTCCATCTGGAGAAGAACTCCACAACCGTGAAGGATCTCCAGACGACACGCACACTGTTCCACATCGTAATGAAGTGGGAGCGGTATAAACCCACCCACCGTGGCGTCACTCAGTGCTTGAACTGCCTATTGTTCGGGCACGGCACCAGGAATTGCCGCATGGCCAGCCGCTGCATCAAATGCGGCAAAAACCACAAGATCGACAACTGCGACAGCATCGAGGAAGCCACTCCCACATGCGCCAACTGCGGTGCCGCCCACAAGGCCACGAGTAAGGCCTGTCCGAAGCGGGCTGAATACGCCGAGATCCGGAAGAAGGCCTCGTCCAACAGCCAGCCCGGTCGCAAGAAGGTTCCAGAAAACAACGCGCAGAACTTTCCTCCGTTATCACCGGTCCAATCACGGCCAATTCCAGTGTTGCCGCCGCTCCCGCTCAACCAACAGTTGGCTGCCGCTGCAGTACCCGGTCAAGCCTCCGGGCCATCAACGGATCCCCCTGCTCCGGGATTGGCCGGTACAACCGGTGAAGCTACAGACGATTCTCCGCTGTCAACGGATGAGATCGTCACACTGTTGGCCCAGGCCATCATCATCAAGCGCACCTGCGCAACAAGAACACAACAGCTCCAAGCTATCATCTCCTTCGTCGCTAATTATGGACCGTGAACCCATAAAGATCGCCAACTGGAACGCTCGCTCCGTAGGGGCGAAAAACATTGAGCTTGCAGACTTCCTCCGCAAGCACGACATCGACGTGGGCCTTCTCACCGAGACCCACCTCAAGACCGGTGACAGCTTCTGGCTGCCCGACCACAGCATTGTCCGGCTTGATCGCACCAGCTCCAGGGGGGGCGGTGTCGCGGTCATCATCAAGAAAGGCATCAAGTACTGCACCCTACCCCACTACCGCACTTCCATCATCGAGGCCGTCGGCGTTGAGGTGGAAACATCGACCGGAAACGTCCGGTTCATCGTTGTCTACTGCCCCCGGCAATGTACCGTTAGCAATGGTACAGCACAGCAGTTCAAGAACGACCTTGTCATAACCCGCACCAATGCCCGCTTCATAATCGGAGGGGACCTGAACGCCCGGCACGAGGCCTGGCGGAACTACCAGCAGAACCAAAACGGCCGCCTGCTATTCGACCATTCCCAGCATGGTCTCTATTCCGTCTGGTTTCCGGACGAACCAACCTTCACATCACCGACGGGCAACCCATCGACGCTGGACCTGTTCTTGGCAAACACCAGATTAGCCAAACCGGTTGCCGTCAACGACCTGAGTTCGGACCACCAACCGGTGCTGACCGAGCTGGCCTACAACGTGGCCCCTGCACCGTGCCAGCGGAAGGACTACCATCGAGTCAACTGGGTCCAGTTTCGACGCGTGGTCGACCGCCACATCGACGACAACCCACCGCTCGACACAGTGGATGACATCGACCGGGCCCTGGAGGGTCTCCATCAAGCCATATCCGTGGCTGACGAAGAGTGCGTTCGACGAGTTCCTGTGAGGGGTAAGTTTCAAGCAATTGATTCCCACACCAAACTCTTGATTCGGCTCAGAAATGTTCGTAGACGCCAGTTTCAGTGGACTGGGGATCTGCAGCGTAAATACGAAATGGTCGATCTGAATCGGTAGATCGCTTCCAGAATGGTCTCAATCCGGAACGAGAGTTTCGGGCGGCTCGTTCAGAACCTGGACGACCATTCCAGACCATTCTGGAAGGTTGCCAAGGTGCTGAAGTCTCACCCCAAGCCCATTCCACCACTTAGAGTCAATGACGAACGGCTTATCACCAACGAAGAGAAGGCCAATGCAATTGGGGAGCACATTGCCCAGTCGCATTTGCTTGGCTCTACAATCCCAAGTCCACTCGAGAACCAGGTTGTGCAGTGCGTCCAGACGTTAGATGCCTCCCCTTGTGCCGTCCCTCCA